TCTCTCTCTCTCTGTCTCTGTCTCTCTGTCTCTCTCTCTGTCTCTCTCTCTGTCTCTCTCTCTGTCTCTCTCTCTCTCTCTCTCTCTCTCTCTCTCTATATATATATATATATATATATATACACAGACCAATGTGATTCTACAACTGTATACTCAGAAAAATGAGAATTTATATCCCATCTATGTATGATATATCAAAGTGCATAAATATATTCTAGTGTCATTTATAACTAATTAAAACAAATAAAAATTAAAATAATAATAATAATAAATTTGTCCAGAAGAGAATGAATCCCCACTAATGCCTCTCTTTTTTTCCTCCTTAAACAAAATCTTGGTCAAAATAACACTGACCACTGTTCTCAAGGTCCCTTTGGTCCAAATGGCCTTACTCACTTTTAGTAGACCTCCAGTACTCCAGCAAAGCAGGCTTTGTTTCCTTTTCCTAGGAGTGACTTGCAAATGAAGTTGTTATCTTTGGGGTGGGAATGTTATCTGTACACTTACCACAACAAATTTTATCTCAGGAAAGGGATTGAACAATCTGGCATATATAAAAAAGATAATGTGCCTTAATCTTTTCCCTACCAGGTTGCATTCAAGGGGTTGGATCACAGGATATTATTGAGCCTGACCTGAATTCCTTATCATTATCATAATGCCATCAACTTTAAGTGAGTTCCCCCTGTCAACTATATCCAGAAGGTCTTTTTTGACTCTTTTTCTTACCCTAAGCATATTGATACTCAGTGGAGGAGGCCCTCTCCATTCCTTTCTTTAGGTTTCCTTAAAGATCCCTTTACATAGTCTGCCAACAAAACATAGTGTGGTCTTTGTTTCTGTTCTTCCTAGGCATTATACATCATAAGTGCACTATCAACTAGTTGTGAGGGTTTGTGTCAGTTTTCTCACTCTGTCCATTGAAAGTCACATTGTCTGTAGAGACTGTTAGGAACCTCTATATACAGAAGTTGTAATGTCCAAGCCAAACTCCAGGAGGCCCATTTTATCTTTGTAGAGAACAGGCAGAATTCCATCCATGGGTATCCCCTGACCAAATGGGTACCCTATTAGGAATTAAAAGGGCAGACCATGTTTGTCCCCAGGTTATAATCTAATAGCACTGGAAACCACTGCTATATCCTTTATATCCTTTATGACTGGCAGCTTTCACCCCCTGAATGAGATAGAAGAGTTAACCATCAGGCACTCAAGGTCCCCTATTAAGGCTTTTTTCAAATGTAAAGACCATCCCTAGAGGTTAAACATTCTAGTCAACTCCTTTGTCCCAGAGCAGCAAAGGGAAATGGAAGTGGGGGTAGACCCAAATGCACATTACAGAAAAATTCAAACTCAAAGACTAAAAGGGAGTAATCAGTTAGAAAGTCATGGGCCAAGCCAATAGCCTTGGTACCACCCAATGCCTGTATATTTATAGCCTCAATATTTTTTTCAATATCTAGTCAGCATTATCCAGAAGCCATAAGACCTGAGACTAGTATACCAAGTAGACAAAGCCCTCTGTAGGTTCCCTCTCACATCACAGGATCTCCATCTTCTCTCATTCAAATAAATCTTACTCCCTTCATTTTTGTCCTCTGCTAGCATCTGTGGATGAACCCATGAGACAGGAAGCCAGAAAGAAATCAATGAAGCTTACAGCCCATATGGACCCCACCCACCAGCAAAAGTGGTGAACTGAGCACCATTCTCAAAAAGGGGCTGGAAGGCAGGGCTAAGACTGGATCTTCTTTGCCCATTTCTTTATAGCCCAGGAAACCTTCCTGGAACTTATTTCCCCAGCCCAGGGATGGTATCCCTGGCCCCATAGCGAGATGATTTGCAATTGCATGGGGCCTGGCCGAGAAAGAGTGCTGGGACTCCTGGTACTGAGTTTAAGGAATTTAAATCTTTTCCTTTTTTCATTTACTAATGTATAAAGACATATTTATTAGACCCAAATATATGTTACCTCATAGAATTCAAGGATCTATGAGTATTTGAATTCATCTTAGCTGATTTTTGTAGTATTTTAACTTGGCAAATTAATCAGATGTCTCTTCTAACAACACATTTATGAAGATTAATGTTAAAACCAATTTACCCATTTCTAACCTAGGTTCATGAAAACCAAGGTATCAAATAAGTCTAGTTATTACTTTAAGTCAGTTATTTGTGCCAAAGAAAAATCTTTAGAAGCAATGGAAATTACACTTTAAACATTTTATAGAAAACAAGAGTCTGATTTTTGATTGGCAGGTCATCTAGAAAATCATGTGGTTAAAAATTTCAAAAGCACATTTAGTCTTACCAATTTAGATTGACCCTTTTTGTTAAAGTTTTATTTAAGCCACATGAACTGAAAGGCATTTGGATCCATTCATTAAATTTATGAATACTCATTTATCCCCATATTGGAGGTTTCTTATACACCCTGGGTTCTTCATGTGCTCAACTCCCCTTATTAAGTATTTCCTTCACACTCACCATGAGTGTGGTCTTGTGTTTCTGAATAGAGATTATCAGTCACACAAAACTACCAAGGAAGTACTTCTTTCTCAAGAATAAATTTTCCTACATTGGTCTGTGCACAAAGTTACCTGGTTGCCACTGAGCTTTCCCCATGTTGCCAATCCACTTTTGATTTTGGGTCTGTTTTTGATCTCAAGGATAGCAAGTTTCTTCCCTCATTCTTAAGCCACCACAACAAGGGCACAACAAGTTTTGAGGACTCCCTCCTCAGAGGGAGTCCTCAAAACCCCTTAGATGACACATAGCCTCATGTTAAGTGCCAAAATTGGTAGAAATACCAGGGTGCCACAAGGAAATCAAATGTGCTCAGAAGGAGCGCAAGACAAACTTTACTTCTGCAAACATGGTGTTACTGAACAAATTCTGGCAAACAAGCACCCTTGGGCAGGCAGTCTTCCCATTCTGTGTTAGGGATAACCATAACACAGCACTGCCCCTTTCTCTGATAGGAGGAGCTTTTAAGGTCACAATCTATGCAACTGGCTCATTTAAAATTGGGGAAGGTAAAGGGAAGGGCTATAGTTAAAATGGCTACAATTGAATCTTACAACCCAATTAAAGATAAATACTATATTCTGAAAATGGGCCATCAGACTTTCTATTTCTCACACTCTGAAATCTCATGAGCCCACTCGTTACTTTCCACAGTCAGATAAGCATTCTGGTCTTCTGTGCTTCCATCAGAATCAAACCTTAAGCTCTGCTTACAACATTCTACAGTTTTTCAAGCTTACATAGCTAAACTTTCCAAAAATTTCTCCCACAAATTCCAAAAAGCTCCAAAGGCTTCAGAACCACATGGTCAGGTTAATCACACCAATTACCCCACTTCTCAGTATCAATTTATAATTTAGTAAGCTTTTTCACTCTGACTAAAAGACCTGACAAGAACAATTTTAGAGGAGAAAAATTTTTCTTTTGAGTTCACAGTCTCAGAGATCTTAGTCCACAAATGTCTAGTTCCATTTGTTGGGGAGTGAGGTGAGGCCGAAAATCATGGCAAAAGAGTGTGGTGGAGGAAAGCAGCTCAGGACATGGCACCAGGAAGCAGAGAGAGGGGGCTGTCCTCACCAGGACATAAGCCCCAAAGGTACACCCTTAATGAAATACCTCTTCCAACCATACCCTACCTGCCTACAGTTACCACCCAGTTAATCATCTACCAAAGGATTAATGAACTGAGTAGGTTTAAGTTTTCAAAACCCAATCACTTTACCTTTAAATTTCTTGCATTGTCTCACATGAACGTTTAGGGACACCTCATATTTAAACTGTTAACAGAGGACTACATTAATTAAGATATAGGATATAAGGGAGAGGGTAAATTTAGAAGAAAAAGGGTAAATTTAGTTCAAAACATTTTTTTGAAAGGGATGTGAGTCATGGAATGATATTTATTGCCTAAGATTAAAACTGTGTTGTTTTATTTTTGTTTCTCCCCTTTGGATGTCTGAGACAGATAAATCCTTAAGTAAACCTGGGATTGGGCCAGAAGACAGAGGATGGTACTACAGTCCACCCAACACAGGGAAGGAATTAGTAAGTCAATTGGAGACAATCAAAAAGCAGCCAATACTAGAGAATAAGAATGATCAAATTATGTTATATGCACACCTGAATTGGCATAATGAATCTCATTATTATGTATAATTATAATGTACCAATAAAAATTTTTAAAGGGGCAGCTATTTGAAGGTAGATAAATAGATAGGTTTTTTTCCAGGAAGAAGTGTATTAATAGCCCCCATTACATATGTGTGTCTAAATAAAATGGTGAAGAAAAGTGATCCAAATTCAAATGTTACCCAAGGTGCCAGATGTCCCAGATCTTTGAACTGAGAACTTCAATGGCTCATGAACTGAGAAGTAGCAATTCAGGAGAGTAAGGCCACAATAGTGATAAATAACCTTTTGACAGTGGCTAGAAAGCATACTAGAAATAGTGGCTTTTACTCTCACCATATTCTAGCATTTTTCCTAGAATATGGCCAGGTAAAATGCTACTAGCTACTAGAGCTCTTTGTCATGTTCACAGATCAAACTCACTCATAGAAAGTCATCCAACCCTCGCAACCTTTTCCAAGGTAAACAGAAAAGCAATCAAAACATTTTTAGCTTACATGGAAGAATATCTCTGTATCTGTTTTTTTCTCTGTTCAATGGTTCATTCCCATAGTTGAACTCACCAGGTAGATTCTTAAGTTCCAAATCCTTTAAAAGTAAAACAAGAGAAAGTCTTGATTTACTATAACAAAAAAAGAAAAAATATCATCTTTGTTTAGTGTTTGTGGTCCTTTAACCCTTTTATGATATGACTTGCTATGTAATTCATTATTTAATAAAGCAGATAAATTAGAACCTCATTTAAAAAGTACTCTATATAATATCCTAAGTTGGAGATGCTGACCAATGAGTTCCTTGATAAAAAAAGTTACATTTTTTAAATCTACTTTCTCCCTGAACTTCATGGTTTTCCTTTTTCATAACCCAAGGAAACATTAAATGTTAATTTCTTAGGGCTTAACGATAAATCTATTATTTCATAAACAAATAATAAAATATCTTCTCTTAAGATATAAAGTCTTAAAATTTATTTCTTGAAGCTTGGACAATAATTCAAATAGTCTTATTTCAAAAAAATTACTTCACCAAGTGTAAATTCCACAAACATTTATCAAGTATTTAGTATGCTTCTGGCACTGATTTAGATATTGGCATTCAATCATGAAGTAGAAAATGGCCTCAACCTTGAAGAGAGAATATAGTAGGCAGAGAACACATAAATCAAATACACAGGACCAGTATACAGAACCAATAGTACTGATGACAGCATCAGATTTATGCCTGAACTTCTTCATATAACTTGAATTGGTCCTGAGTGAGTCATCAAAAGTCAGCCATATTAAAGTCAGTGAGTGTGTGGAAGCAAAGGATAGTGAAGGGATGTAATTTCAGGTAGAAGTCATGAAGATATATATATCCTCTTGGGGAAAGAATAAACACCATGGTAACAAGAGCACAGAGCACATGGTCTATGACAGAGGTAGACTAAAAGTAGGAAAAACCTTGTTCTATACACAGTCACTCCTCAGTATCTACTAAAATCCGTTCTGGAAACTCCCATGGATGCACATGGATATCAAAATTTGTGAATTCTCAAGTTCCTTATATAAAACGGTGTAGTGTTTATATAAAATCTATGTGCATCATCTCATGTACTTTAAATCATCTGTACATTACTTACACCTGACATAATGTAAATGCTATATAGTTATTATACTGTACTGCTTAAGGAATAATGACAGGAAAAAAGTCTGTACATATCTAGTAGAGATGTACATTTTCTAATACTTTTGATCTGTAGTAGGTTGAATATATGAATGAGGAACCCATAGTCAACTATAAAAAAGAAACAGGAATTATGTTTTTATGTACACAAGAATAAGCCTCCATGAAATCCACCATTCTGTATACATAATATTCAATAAAAATTTAATGAATGATAAAAATATAAGATCTGCCTCATATAATCTAAGAACATCTTCTGACTATATTTGTGAGTAGCTATATCCTGGTTTGTGAAATAAACTAAGGATGGCTGTCCAAAATCTTGAAAGAAACAAAAACAAAAAAGAAATTGGGAGTTATCAAATCTGACACAATTAGAATATTAATGAACAAAGTCTGAGATATACTTTTAATTTTTATGTGATGCTAGGGATCAAACCCAGTGCCTCACACATGCTAGGCAAGTGCTCTACCACCGAGCTACAACTCCAGCCTGACACTATACTTTTTTAAAAGTTCTTCAGTTTGCCAGGCACAGTAGCACATGCCTGTAATCCCAGCAGCTCAGTAGGCTAAGACAGGAGAATTGAGAGTTCAAAGCCAGCCTCAGCAATGGTGAGGCACTAAGCAACTCAGTGAGTCCCTGTCTCTAAATAAAAGGGGCTGGGGATATAGCTTTGTAGTAAAATACCTCTCAGTTCAGTCCCCAGTACCAAAAAAAATAATAAAAAAGAAAAGAAAAGCCAAATCTTATATCAAAGTCTCTGGAGAGTCTTTAGAGAACTGAAGAGATACACAATGGTAGTCATTATCAAATAACTCAAGGTAAATTCTATCTTGATTGAAGATTCAAATGCTAAAAATAAATTCAAAAAAGCATTAGAAAAAAGCATGAAGTAATTATTCTGATGTGGGACTGAAAGGGGTTTTGCTAAAGAACATGAAAAGCCAGAAGCCCTAAGATTAACATATTGAGTATTAATAGTTTATTAAAAATGAGCTCTTTCTTTGTGATAAATAGGTGTATGTGCACTTGTATAACATGAACAGCAGAGATTATTAACATAGGTAATACACACATGGAGATAATTTCTTCATTATATAAAGAATTGATAAAGAATAAATAGGCAGGACACAGTGGCACATGCCTGTAATTCCAGTTGCTCAGGAAGTTGAGGCAGGAGGATCACAAGCGCAGAGCCAGCCTCAGAAACTTAGCAAGACTGTCTCAAAATAAAAAATAAAAAGGGCTGAGATTATGGCTTAGTGGTTACAAAACTATGGGTTTAATTTCAGGTACTAAAAACAATGGAAATTTTGGCAAATAATTAGAAGTAGCAGTTCATTGAAAATAAACACAAAATGCTCTAAAACATATGGAAAGATGGATACTACTTTGTTATTAAATAAAGGAAAGACATTTATATTGTCAACAAAAAATCATTTGTCATTTAGAGATGGGCAAAGAATTAACCCTTTGATAATCCAAAATTACAGATTGTCTTTCTAAAAATTTGTTCCAAAAATGACACATATATACAGGTATATGAAGAAGGACGATTGCTGTTTATAATAGCAAAGCCAAGAACAATCTAACTTGCTCTTGGATAGGCAGAATTAATACTATCAAAATGACCATACTACCAAAAGCACTATACAGATTTAATGCAAATCTGATCATTGTATTAATGATATGGCATTCCTCATAGAGATAGAAAAAGCAATCATGAAATTCATCTGGAAAAATAAGAGGCCCAGATTAGCTAAA